CAAACGCCATAAACTCATGTTCAACAATTGCAACCAACTAAAGTTCACTAAAAACCACAGACTCAAGTTCAACAATTGCCAAAACCTCAAGTTCAGAAACAACAAACTCAAGTTAAAAAAACACACAAACTCAAGTTAAACAAACAAGCAACCTCAAGTTCAAAAACACCACAAACTCAAGATCAAACACGAAACAAACTCAAGTTCAACCAACACCTGATTCTCAAGTTTAACAATTTCCACAACCTCAAGTTCAAACACGCCACAAACTCAAGTTCAAAAACACCACAACCTCAAGTTCAAAAAACACCACAAACTGAAGTTCAAACACTACACAAACTCAAGTTCAAAAACACCACAAACTCGAGTTCAAAAACACCACAAAATCATGTTTAAACACGTCACAAACTCAAGTTCAACAAATGCCACAAACTCAAGTTCAACAATTGCCACCAACTAAAGTTCACTAAAAACAACAGACTCAAGTTCAACAATTGCCACAACCTCAAGTTCAGAAACAACAAACTCAAGTTAAAAAAACACACAAACTCAAGTTCAACAAACACGCAAACTCAAGTTCAAAAACACCACAACCTCAAGCTCAAAAACTACACAAACTCAAGTTCAACAAAAACCACAAACTCAAGTTCAACCAACACCTTATTCTCAAGTTTTTACAATTTCCACAACCTCAAGTTCAAAAACAACACAACCTCAAGTACAAAAAACCCATAAACTAAAGTTCAAACAAAGCACAAAATCAAGTTCAACAAAAACCACAAACTCAAGTTCAACCAACACCTGATTCTCAAGTTTTAACAATTTTCACAACCTCAAGTTCAAAAATAACACAAACTCAAGTTCAAAAAATGGAAAAGTTTTAAGTTCAACCAACACCCAAATCTCAAGTTTAACAATTGCAACAACCTCAAGTTCAAACACGCCACAAACTCAAGTTCAAAAACACCACAACCTCAAGTTCAAAAAACACCACAAACTCAAGTTCAACCACCACCCAATCCTCAAGTTTAAAAATTTCCACAAACTGAAGTTCAAAAACCAAAACCTCAAGTTAAAAAAAACCACAAACTCAAGTTCAAAAAACACACAAACTCAAGTTAAACAAACAAGCAACATCAAGTCAAAAAACACCACAACCTCAAGATCAAACACGAAACAAACTCAAGTTCAATCAACACCCAAATCTCAAGTTTAACAATTTCCACAACCTCAAGTTCAAACACGCCACAAACTCAAGTTCAAAAACACCACAACCTCAAGCTCAACCAATTCCCAATTCTCAAGTTTAACAATTGCCACAACCTCAAGTTCAAAAACCGCCACAAACTCAAGTTCAAAAAACACCACAAACTGAAGTTCCAAACACGACACAAACTCAAGTTCAACAAACACACAAACTCAAGTTCAACCAATACCCAATTCTCAAGTTTAACAATTTCAATAACCTCAAGTTCAAAAATACCACAAACTCGAGTTCAAAAACACCACAAAATCATGTTTAAACACGTCACAAACTCAAGTTCAACAAATGCCAAAAACTCAAGTTCAACAATTGCCACCAACTAAAGTTCACTAAAAACAACAGACTCAAGTTCAACAAACACAACGAACTCAAGTTCAAAAACACTACAAACTCAAGTTCAAAAACACCGCAAAATCAAGTTCAAACACGTCACAAACTCAAGTTCAACAATTGCCACAACCTCAAGTTCAAAAACCGCCACAAACTCAAGTTCAAAAACACCACAACCTCAAGTTCAAAAAACACCACAAACTGAAGTTCAAACATGACACAAACTCAAGTTCAACAAACACACAAACTCAAGTTCAACCAATACCCAATTCTCAAGTTTAACAATTTCCACAACCTCAAGTTCAAAAACACCACAAACTCGAGTTCAAAAACACCACATCCTCAAGTTCAAACACGACACAAACTCAAGTTCAAACAAATGCCACCAACTAAAGTTCACTAAAAACAACAGACTCAAGTTCAACAATTGCCACAACCTCAAGTTCAGAAACAACAAACTCAAGTTAAAAAACACACAAACTCAAGTTCAACAAACACACAAACTCAAGTTCAAAAACACCACAACCTCAAGCTCAAAAACACACAAACTCAAGTTCAACAAAAACCACAAACTCAAGTTCAACCAACACCTTATTCTCAAGTTTTTACAATTTCCACAACCTCAAGTTCAAAAACAACACAACCTCAAGTACAAAAAACCCATAAACTAAAGTTCAAACAAAGCACAAAATCAAGTTCAACAAAAACCACAAACTCAAGTTCAACCAACACCTGATTCTCAAGTTTTAACAATTTTCACAACCTCAAGTTCAAAAATAACACAAACTCAAGTTCAAAAAATGGAAAAGTTTTAAGTTCAACCAACACCCAAATCTCAAGTTTAACAATTGCAACAACCTCAAGTTCAAACACGCCACGAACTCAAGTCAAAAACACCACAACCTCAAGTTCAAAAAAACACCACAAACTCAAGTTCAACCACCACCCAATCCTCAAGTTTAAAAATTTCCACAAACTGAAGTTCAAAAACCAAAACCTCAAGTTAAAAAAAACCACAAACTCAAGTTCAACAAACACACAAACTCAAGTTAAACAAACAAGCAACATCAAGTCAAAAAACACCACAACCTCAAGATCAAACACGAAACAAACTCAAGTTCAATCAACACCCAAATCTCAAGTTTAACAATTTCCACAACCTCAAGTTCAAACACGCCACAAACTCAAGTTCAAAAACACCACAACCTCAAGCTCAACCAATTCCCAATTCTCAAGTTTAACAATTGCCACAACCTCAAGTTCAAAAACACCACAAACTCAAGTTCAAAAAACACCACAACCTCAAGCTCAAACACGACACAAACTCAAGTTCAACAAACACACAAACTCAAGTTCAACCAATACCCAATTCTCAAGTTTAACAATTTCAATAACCTCAAGTTCAAAAATACCACAAACTCGAGTTCAAAAACACCACAAAATCATGTTTAAACACGTCACAAACTCAAGTTCAACAAATGCCAAAAACTCAAGTTCAACAATTGCCACCAACTAAAGTTCACTAAAAACAACAGACTCAAGTTCAACAAACACCACAAACTCAAGTTCAAAAACACCACAAACTCGAGTTCAAAAACACCACAAAATCAAGTTCAAACACGTCACAAACTCAAGTTCAACAATTGCCACAACCTCAAGTTCAAAAACCGCCACAAACTCAAGTTCAAAAACACCACAACCTCAAGTTCAAAAAACACCACAAACTGAAGTCCAAACACGACACAAACTCAAGTTAAACAAACACACAAACTCAAGTTCAACCAATACCCAATTCTCAAGTTTAACAATTTCAACAACCTCAAGTTCAAAAACACCACAAACTCGAGTTCAAAAACACCACAAAATCATGTTTAAACACGTCACAAACTCAAGTTCAACAAATGCCACCAACTAAAGTTCACTAAAAACAACAGACTCAAGTTCAACAATTGCCACAACCTCAAATTCAGAAACAACAAACTCAAGTTAAAAAAACACACAAACTCAAGTTCAACAAACACACAAACTCAAGTTCAAAAACACCACAACCTCAAGCTCAAAAACGACACAAACTCAAGTTCAACAAAAACCACAAACTCAAGTTCAACCAACACCCAATTCTCAAGTTTAACAATTTCCACAACCTCAAGTTCAAAAACAACACAAACTCAAGTACAAAAAAAACCATAAACTAAAGTTCAAACAAAGCACAAAATCAAGTTCAACCAATACCCAAACTCAAGTTCAACCAACACCTGATTCTCAAGTTTTAACAATTTTCACAACCTCAAGTTCAAAAACCACCACAAACTCAAGTTCAAACACGCCACAATCTCAAGTTCAAACACGCCACAAACTCAAGTCCAAAAAAACACCACAAACTCAAGTTCAAAAATACCACAACCTCAAGTTCAAACACAACACAAGCTGGAGTTCAACAAACACCACAAACTCAAGTTCAACAAATGGCAAAGTTCAATCAACACCCAAATCTCAAGTTTAACAATTGCAACAACCTCAAGTTCAAACACGCCACGAACTCAAGTCAAAAACACCACAACCTCAAGTTCAAAAAACACCACAAACTCAAGTTCAACCACCACCCAATCCTCAAGTTTAAAAATTTCCACAAACTGAAGTTCAAAAAACCACAACCTCAAGTTAAAAAAACCCACAAACTCAAGTTCAAACACCACACAAACTCAAGTTCAACAAAAACCACAAACTGAAGTTCAACGAATGTCAAACTTTTAAGTTCAACCAACACCCAAATCTCAATTTTAGAAATTGCCACAACCTCAAGTTCAAAAATAACACAAACTCAAGTTCAAACACGTCACAAACTCAAGTTCAACAAACGCCATAAACTCATGTTCAACAATTGCAACCAACTAAAGTTCACTAAAAACCACAGACTCAAGTTCAACAATTGCCAAAACCTCAAGTTCAGAAACAACAAACTCAAGTTAAAAAAACACACAAACTCAAGTTAAACAAACAAGCAACCTCAAGTTCAAAAACACCACAAACTCAAGATCAAACACGAAACAAACTCAAGTTCAACCAACACCTGATTCTCAAGTTTAACAATTTCCACAACCTCAAGTTCAAACACGCCACAAACTCAAGTTCAAAAACACCACAACCTCAAGCTCAAAAAACACCACAAACTGAAGTTCAAACACTACACAAACTCAAGTTCAAAAACACCACAAACTCGAGTTCAAAAACACCACAAAATCATGTTTAAACACGTCACAAACTCAAGTTCAACAAATGCCACAAACTCAAGTTCAACAATTGCCACCAACTAAAGTTCACTAAAAACAACAGACTCAAGTTCAACAATTGCCACAACCTCAAGTTCAGAAACAACAAACTCAAGTTAAAAAAACACACAAACTCAAGTTCAACAAACACGCAAACTCAAGTTCAAAAACACCACAACCTCAAGCTCAAAAACTACACAAACTCAAGTTCAACAAAAACCACAAACTCAAGTTCAACCAACACCTTATTCTCAAGTTTTTACAATTTCCACAACCTCAAGTTCAAAAACAACACAACCTCAAGTACAAAAAACCCATAAACTAAAGTTCAAACAAAGCACAAAATCAAGTTCAACAAAAACCACAAACTCAAGTTCAACCAACACCTGATTCTCAAGTTTTAACAATTTTCACAACCTCAAGTTCAAAAATAACACAAACTCAAGTTCAAAAAATGGAAAAGTTTTAAGTTCAACCAACACCCAAATCTCAAGTTTAACAATTGCAACAACCTCAAGTTCAAACACGCCACGAACTCAAGTCAAAAACACCACAACCTCAAGTTCAAAAAAACACCACAAACTCAAGTTCAACCACCACCCAATCCTCAAGTTTAAAAATTTCCACAAACTGAAGTTCAAAAACCAAAACCTCAAGTTAAAAAAAACCACAAACTCAAGTTCAAAAAACACACAAACTCAAGTTAAACAAACAAGCAACATCAAGTCAAAAAACACCACAACCTCAAGATCAAACACGAAACAAACTCAAGTTCAATCAACACCCAAATCTCAAGTTTAACAATTTCCACAACCTCAAGTTCAAACACGCCACAAACTCAAGTTCAAAAACACCACAACCTCAAGCTCAACCAATTCCCAATTCTCAAGTTTAACAATTGCCACAACCTCAAGTTCAAAAACCGCCACAAACTCAAGTTCAAAAAACACCACAAACTGAAGTCCAAACACGACACAAACTCAAGTTCAACAAACACACAAACTCAAGTTCAACCAATACCCAATTCTCAAGTTTAACAATTTCAATAACCTCAAGTTCAAAAATACCACAAACTCGAGTTCAAAAACACCACAAAATCATGTTTAAACACGTCACAAACTCAAGTTCAACAAATGCCAAAAACTCAAGTTCAACAATTGCCACCAACTAAAGTTCACTAAAAACAACAGACTCAAGTTCAACAAACACCACAAACTCAAGTTCAAAAACACCACAAACTCGAGTTCAAAAACACCACAAAATCAAGTTCAAACACGTCACAAACTCAAGTTCAACAATTGCCACAACCTCAAGTTCAAAAACCGCCACAAACTCAAGTTCAAAAACACCACAACCTCAAGTTCAAAAAACACCACAAACTGAAGTCCAAACACGACACAAACTCAAGTTAAACAAACACACAAACTCAAGTTCAACCAATACCCAATTCTCAAGTTTAACAATTTCAACAACCTCAAGTTCAAAAACACCACAAACTCGAGTTCAAAAACACCACAAAATCATGTTTAAACACGTCACAAACTCAAGTTCAACAAATGCCACCAACTAAAGTTCACTAAAAACAACAGACTCAAGTTCAACAATTGCCACAACCTCAAATTCAGAAACAACAAACTCAAATTAAAAAAACACACAAACTCAAGTTCAACAAACACACAAACTCAAGTTCAAAAACACCACAACCTCAAGCTCAAAAACGACACAAACTCAAGTTCAACAAAAACCACAAACTCAAGTTCAACCAACACCTGATTCTCATGTTTTTACAATTTCCACAACCTCAAGTTCAAAAACAACACAAACTCAAGTACAAAAAAAACCATAAACTAAAGTTCAAACAAAGCACAAAATCAAGTTCAACCAATACCCAAACTCAAGTTCAACCAACACCTGATTCTCAAGTTTTAACAATTTTCACAACCTCAAGTTCAAAAACCACCACAAACTCAAGTTCAAACACGCCACAATCTCAAGTTCAAACACGCCACAAACTCAAGTCCAAAAAAACACCACAAACTCAAGTTCAAAAATACCACAACCTCAAGTTCAAACACAACACAAGCTGGAGTTCAACAAACACCACAAACTCAAGTTCAACAAATGGCAAAGTTCAATCAACACCCAAATCTCAAGTTTAACAATTGCAACAACCTCAAGTTCAAACACGCCACGAACTCAAGTCAAAAACACCACAACCTCAAGTTCAAAAAACACCACAAACTCAAGTTCAACCACCACCCAATCCTCAAGTTTAAAAATTTCCACAAACTGAAGTTCAAAAAACCACAACCTCAAGTTAAAAAACCCACAAACTCAAGTTCAAACACCACACAAACTCAAGTTCAACAAAAACCACAAACTGAAGTTCAACGAATGTCAAACTTTTAAGTTCAACCAACACCCAAATCTCAATTTTAGAAATTGCCACAACCTCAAGTTCAAAAATAACACAAACTCAAGTTCAAACACGTCACAAACTCAAGTTCAACAAACGCCATAAACTCATGTTCAACAATTGCAACCAACTAAAGTTCACTAAAAACCACAGACTCAAGTTCAACAATTGCCAAAACCTCAAGTTCAGAAACAACAAACTCAAGTTAAAAAAACACACAAACTCAAGTTAAACAAACAAGCAACCTCAAGTTCAAAAACACCACAAACTCAAGATCAAACACGAAACAAACTCAAGTTCAACCAACACCTGATTCTCAAGTTTAACAATTTCCACAACCTCAAGTTCAAACACGCCACAAACTCAAGTTCAAAAACACCACAACCTCAAGCTCAAAAAACACCACAAACTGAAGTTCAAACACTACACAAACTCAAGTTCAAAAACACCACAAACTCGAGTTCAAAAACACCACAAAATCATGTTTAAACACGTCACAAACTCAAGTTCAACAAATGCCACAAACTCAAGTTCAACAATTGCCACCAACTAAAGTTCACTAAAAACAACAGACTCAAGTTCAACAATTGCCACAACCTCAAGTTCAGAAACAACAAACTCAAGTTAAAAAAACACACAAACTCAAGTTAAACAAACAAGCAACCTCAAGTTCAAAAACACCACAAACTCAAGATCAAACACGAAACAAACTCAAGTTCAACCAACACCTGATTCTCAAGTTTAACAATTTCCACAACCTCAAGTTCAAACACGCCACAAACTCAAGTTCAAAAACACCACAAACTCAAGTTCAAAAAACACCACAAACTGAAGTTCAAACACTACACAAACTCAAGTTCAAAAACACCACAAACTCGAGTTCAAAAACACCACAAAATCATGTTTAAACACGTCACAAACTCAAGTTCAACAAATGCCACAAACTCAAGTTCAACAATTGCCACCAACTAAAGTTCACTAAAAACAACAGACTCAAGTTCAACAATTGCCACAACCTCAAGTTCAGAAACAACAAACTCAAGTTAAAAAAACACACAAACTCAAGTTCAACAAACACGCAAACTCAAGTTCAAAAACACCACAACCTCAAGCTCAAAAACTACACAAACTCAAGTTCAACAAAAACCACAAACTCAAGTTCAACCAACACCTTATTCTCAAGTTTTTACAATTTCCACAACCTCAAGTTCAAAAACAACACAACCTCAAGTACAAAAAACCCATAAACTAAAGTTCAAACAAAGCACAAAATCAAGTTCAACAAAAACCACAAACTCAAGTTCAACCAACACCTGATTCTCAAGTTTTAACAATTTTCACAACCTCAAGTTCAAAAATAACACAAACTCAAGTTCAAAAAATGGAAAAGTTTTAAGTTCAACCAACACCCAAATCTCAAGTTTAACAATTGCAACAACCTCAAGTTCAAACACGCCACGAACTCAAGTCAAAAACACCACAACCTCAAGTTCAAAAAAACACCACAAACTCAAGTTCAACCACCACCCAATCCTCAAGTTTAAAAATTTCCACAAACTGAAGTTCAAAAACCAAAACCTCAAGTTAAAAAAAACCACAAACTCAAGTTCAAAAAACACACAAACTCAAGTTAAACAAACAAGCAACATCAAGTCAAAAAACACCACAACCTCAAGATCAAACACGAAACAAACTCAAGTTCAATCAACACCCAAATCTCAAGTTTAACAATTTCCACAACCTCAAGTTCAAACACGCCACAAACTCAAGTTCAAAAACACCACAACCTCAAGCTCAACCAATTCCCAATTCTCAAGTTTAACAATTGCCACAACCTCAAGTTCAAAAACCGCCACAAACTCAAGTTCAAAAAACACCACAAACTGAAGTCCAAACACGACACAAACTCAAGTTCAACAAACACACAAACTCAAGTTCAACCAATACCCAATTCTCAAGTTTAACAATTTCAATAACCTCAAGTTCAAAAATACCACAAACTCGAGTTCAAAAACACCACAAAATCATGTTTAAACACGTCACAAACTCAAGTTCAACAAATGCCAAAAACTCAAGTTCAACAATTGCCACCAACTAAAGTTCACTAAAAACAACAGACTCAAGTTCAACAAACACCACAAACTCAAGTTCAAAAACACCACAAACTCGAGTTCAAAAACACCACAAAATCAAGTTCAAACACGTCACAAACTCAAGTTCAACAATTGCCACAACCTCAAGTTCAAAAACCGCCACAAACTCAAGTTCAAAAACACCACAACCTCAAGTTCAAAAAACACCACAAACTGAAGTCCAAACACGACACAAACTCAAGTTAAACAAACACACAAACTCAAGTTCAACCAATACCCAATTCTCAAGTTTAACAATTTCAACAACCTCAAGTTCAAAAACACCACAAACTCGAGTTCAAAAACACCACAAAATCATGTTTAAACACGTCACAAACTCAAGTTCAACAAATGCCACCAACTAAAGTTCACTAAAAACAACAGACTCAAGTTCAACAATTGCCACAACCTCAAATTCAGAAACAACAAACTCAAGTTAAAAAAACACACAAACTCAAGTTCAACAAACACACAAACTCAAGTTCAAAAACACCACAACCTCAAGCTCAAAAACGACACAAACTCAAGTTCAACAAAAACCACAAACTCAAGTTCAACCAACACCTGATTCTCATGTTTTTACAATTTCCACAACCTCAAGTTCAAAAACAACACAAACTCAAGTACAAAAAAAACCATAAACTAAAGTTCAAACAAAGCACAAAATCAAGTTCAACCAATACCCAAACTCAAGTTCAACCAACACCTGATTCTCAAGTTTTAACAATTTTCACAACCTCAAGTTCAAAAACCACCACAAACTCAAGTTCAAACACGCCACAATCTCAAGTTCAAACACGCCACAAACTCAAGTCCAAAAAAACACCACAAACTCAAGTTCAAAAATACCACAACCTCAAGTTCAAACACAACACAAGCTGGAGTTCAACAAACACCACAAACTCAAGTTCAACAAATGGCAAAGTTCAATCAACACCCAAATCTCAAGTTTAACAATTGCAACAACCTCAAGTTCAAACACGCCACGAACTCAAGTCAAAAACACCACAACCTCAAGTTCAAAAAACACCACAAACTCAAGTTCAACCACCACCCAATCCTCAAGTTTAAAAATTTCCACAAACTGAAGTTCAAAAAACCACAACCTCAAGTTAAAAAACCCACAAACTCAAGTTCAAACACCACACAAACTCAAGTTCAACAAAAACCACAAACTGAAGTTCAACGAATGTCAAACTTTTAAGTTCAACCAACACCCAAATCTCAATTTTAGAAATTGCCACAACCTCAAGTTCAAAAATAACACAAACTCAAGTTCAAACACGTCACAAACTCAAGTTCAACAAACGCCATAAACTCATGTTCAACAATTGCAACCAACTAAAGTTCACTAAAAACCACAGACTCAAGTTCAACAATTGCCAAAACCTCAAGTTCAGAAACAACAAACTCAAGTTAAAAAAACACACAAACTCAAGTTAAACAAACAAGCAACCTCAAGTTCAAAAACACCACAAACTCAAGATCAAACACGAAACAAACTCAAGTTCAACCAACACCTGATTCTCAAGTTTAACAATTTCCACAACCTCAAGTTCAAACACGCCACAAACTCAAGTTCAAAAACACCACAACCTCAAGCTCAAAAAACACCACAAACTGAAGTTCAAACACTACACAAACTCAAGTTCAAAAACACCACAAACTCGAGTTCAAAAACACCACAAAATCATGTTTAAACACGTCACAAACTCAAGTTCAACAAATGCCACAAACTCAAGTTCAACAATTGCCACCAACTAAAGTTCACTAAAAACAACAGACTCAAGTTCAACAATTGCCACAACCTCAAGTTCAGAAACAACAAACTCAAGTTAAAAAAACACACAAACTCAAGTTCAACAAACACGCAAACTCAAGTTCAAAAACACCACAACCTCAAGCTCAAAAACTACACAAACTCAAGTTCAACAAAAACCACAAACTCAAGTTCAACCAACACCTTATTCTCAAGTTTTTACAATTTCCACAACCTCAAGTTCAAAAACAACACAACCTCAAGTACAAAAAACCCATAAACTAAAGTTCAAACAAAGCACAAAATCAAGTTCAACAAAAACCACAAACTCAAGTTCAACCAACACCTGATTCTCAAGTTTTAACAATTTTCACAACCTCAAGTTCAAAAATAACACAAACTCAAGTTCAAAAAATGGAAAAGTTTTAAGTTCAACCAACACCCAAATCTCAAGTTTAACAATTGCAACAACCTCAAGTTCAAACACGCCACGAACTCAAGTCAAAAACACCACAACCTCAAGTTCAAAAACACCACAAACTCAAGTTCAACCACCACCCAATCCTCAAGTTTAAAAATTTCCACAAACTGAAGTTCAAAAACCAAAACCTCAAGTTAAAAAAACCACAAACTCAAGTTCAAAAAACACACAAACTCAAGTTAAACAAACAAGCAACATCAAGTCAAAAAACACCACAACCTCAAGATCAAAACGAAACAAACTCAAGTTCAATCAACACCCAAATCTCAAGTTTAACAATTTCCACAACCTCAAGTTCAAACACGCCACAAACTCAAGTTCAAAAACACCACAACCTCAAGCTCAACCAATTCCCAATTCTCAAGTTTAACAATTGCCACAACCTCAAGTTCAAAAACCGCCACAAACTCAAGTTCAAAAAACACCACAAACTGAAGTCCAAACACGACACAAACTCAAGTTCAACAAACACACAAACTCAAGTTCAACCAATACCCAATTCTCAAGTTTAACAATTTCAATAACCTCAAGTTCAAAAATACCACAAACTCGAGTTCAAAAACACCACAAAATCATGTTTAAACACGTCACAAACTCAAGTTCAACAAATGCCAAAAACTCAAGTTCAACAATTGCCACCAACTAAAGTTCACTAAAAACAACAGACTCAAGTTCAACAAACACCACAAACTCAAGTTCAAAAACACCACAAACTCGAGTTCAAAAACACCACAAAATCAAGTTCAAACACGTCACAAACTCAAGTTCAACAATTGCCACAACCTCAAGTTCAAAAACCGCCACAAACTCAAGTTCAAAAACACCACAACCTCAAGTTCAAAAAACCACAACCTCAAGTTCAAACACGAAACAAACTCAAGTTCAAAAAAAACCACAAACTCAAGATCAACCAATACCAAATTCTCAAGTTTAACAAATTCCACAACCTCAAGTTCAAAAACACCACAAACTCGAGTTCAAAAACACCACAAAATCATGTTTAAACACGTCACAAACTCAAGTTCAACAAATGCCACCAACTAAAGTTCACTAAAAACAACAGACTCAAGTTCAACAATTGCCACAACCTCAAATTCAGAAACAACAAACTCAAGTTAAAAAAACACACAAACTCAAGTTCAACAAACACGCAAACTCAAGTTCAAAAACACCACAACCTCAAGCTCAAAAACTACACAAACTCAAGTTCAACAAAAACCACAAACTCAAGTTCAACCAACACCTTATTCTCAAGTTTTTACAATTTCCACAACCTCAAGTTCAAAAACAACACAACCTCAAGTACAAAAAACCCATAAACTAAAGTTCAAACAAAGCACAAAATCAAGTTCAACAAAAACCACAAACTCAAGTTCAACCAACACCTGATTCTCAAGTTTTAACAATTTTCACAACCTCAAGTTCAAAAATAACACAAACTCAAGTTCAAAAAATGGAAAAGTTTTAAGTTCAACCAACACCCAAATCTCAAGTTTAACAATTTCAACAACCTCAAGTTCAAACACGCCACGAACTCAAGTCAAAAACACCACAACCTCAAGTTCAAAAAAACACCACAAACTCAAGTTCAACCACCACCCAATCCTCAAGTTTAAAAATTTCCACAAACTGAAGTTCAAAAACCAAAACCTCAAGTTAAAAAAAACCACAAACTCAAGTTCAAAAAACACACAAACTCAAGTTAAACAAACAAGCAACATCAAGTCAAAAAACACCACAACCTCAAGATCAAACACGAAACAAACTCAAGTTCAATCAACACCCAAATCTCAAGTTTAACAATTTCCACAACCTCAAGTTCAAACACGCCACAAACTCAAGTTCAAAAATAACACAAACTCAAGCTCAACCAATTCCCAATTCTCAAGTTTAACAATTGCCACAACCTCAAGTTCAAAAACCGCCACAAACTCAAGTTCAAAAAACACCACAAACTGAAGTCCAAACACGACACAAACTCAAGTTCAACAAACACACAAACTCAAGTTCAACCAATACCCAATTCTCAAGTTTAACAATTTCAATAACCTCAAGTTCAAAAATACCACAAACTCGAGTTCAAAAACACCACAAAATCATGTTTAAACACGTCACAAACTCAAGTTCAACAAATGCCAAAAACTCAAGTTCAACAATTGCCACCAACTAAAGTTCACTAAAAACAACAGACTCAAGTTCAACAAACACCACAAACTCAAGTTCAAAAACACCACAAACTCAAGTTCAAAAACACCACAAAATCAAGTTCAAACACGTCACAAACTCAAGTTCAACAATTGCCACAACCTCAAGTTCAAAAACCGCCACAAACTCAAGTTCAAAAACACCACAACCTCAAGTTCAAAAAACACCACAAACTAAAGTTCAAACACGACACAAACTCAAGTTCAACAAACACACAAACTCAAGTTCAACCAATACCCAATTCTCAAGTTTAACAATTTCAACAACCTCAAGTTCAAAAACACCACAAACTCGAGTTCAAAAACACCACAAAATCATGTTTAAACACGTCACAAACTCAAGTTCAACAAATGCCACCAACTAAAGTTCACTAAAAACAACAGACTCAAGTTCAACAATTGCCACAACCTCAAATTCAGAAACAACAAACTCAAGTTAAAAAAACACACAAACTCAAGTTCAACAAACACACAAACTCAAGTTCAAAAACACCACAACCTCAAGCTCAAAAACGACACAAACTCAAGTTCAACAAAAACCACAAACTCAAGTTCAACCAACACCTGATTCTCATGTTTTTACAATTTCCACAACCTCAAGTTCAAAAACAACACAAACTCAAGTACAAAAAAAACCATAAACTAAAGTTCAAACAAAGCACAAAATCAAGTTCAACCAATACCCAAACTCAAGTTCAACCAACACCTGATTCTCAAGTTTTAACAATTTTCACAACCTCAAGTTCAAAAACCACCACAAACTCAAGTTCAAACACGCCACAATCTCAAGTTCAAACACGCCACAAACTCAAGTCCAAAAAACACCACAAACTCAAGTTCAAAAATACCACAACCTCAAGTTCAAACACAACACAAGCTGGAGTTCAACAAACACCACAAACTCAAGTTCAACAAATGGCAAAGTTCAATCAACACCCAAATCTCAAGTTTAACAATTGCAACAACCTCAAGTTCAAACACGCCACGAACTCAAGTCAAAAACACCACAACCTCAAGTTCAAAAAACACCACAAACTCAAGTTCAACCACCACCCAATCCTCAAGTTTAAAAATTTCCACAAACTGAAGTTCAAAAAACCACAACCTCAAGTTAAAAAACCCACAAACTCAAGTTCAAACACCACACAAACTCAAGTTCAACAAAAACCACAAACTGAAGTTCAACGAATGTCAAACTTTTAAGTTCAACCAACACCCAAATCTCAATTTTAGAAATTGCCACAACCTCAAGTTCAAAAATAACACAAACTCAAGTTCAAACACGTCACAAACTCAAGTTCAACAAACGCCATAAACTCATGTTCAACAATTGCAACCAACTAAAGTTCACTAAAAACCACAGACTCAAGTTCAACAATTGCCAAAACCTCAAGTTCAGAAACAACAAACTCAAGTTAAAAAAACACACAAACTCAAGTTAAACAAACAAGCAACCTCAAGTTCAAAAACACCACAAACTCAAGATCAAACACGAAACAAACTCAAGTTCAACCAACACCTGATTCTCAAGTTTAACAATTTCCACAACCTCAAGTTCAAACACGCCACAAACTCAAGTTCAAAAACACCACAACCTCAAGCTCAAAAAACACCACAAACTCAAGTTCAAACACGACACAAACTCAAGTTCAAAAACACCACAAACTCAAGTTCAAAAACACCACAAACTCAAGTTCAAACACGTCACAAACTCAAGTTCAACAAATGCCACAAACTCAAGTTCAACAATTGCCACCAAATAAAGTTCACTAAAAACAACAGACTCAAGTTCAACAATTGCCACAACCTCAAGTTCAGAAACAACAAACTCAAGTTAAAAAAACACACAAACTCAAGTTAAACAAACAAGCAACCTCAAGTTCAAAAACACCACAAACTCAAGATCAAACACGAAACAAACTCAAGTTCAACCAACACCTAATTCTCAAGTTTAACAATTTCCACAACCTCAAGTTCAAACACGCCACAAACTCAAGTTCAAAAACACCACAACCTCAAGCTCAAAAAACACCACAAACTGAAGTTCAAACACTACACAAACTCAAGTTCAAAAACACCACAAACTCGAGTTCAAAAACACCACAAAATCATGTTTAAACACGTCACAAACTCAAGTTCAACAAATGCCACAAACTCAAGTTCAACAATTGCCACCAACTAAAGTTCACTAAAAACAACAGACTCAAGTTCAACAATTGCCACAACCTCAAGTTCAGAAACAACAAACTCAAGTTAAAAAAACACACAAACTCAAGTTCAACAAACACGCAAACTCAAGTTCAAAAACACCACAACCTCAAGCTCAAAAACTACACAAACTCAAGTTCAACAAAAACCACAAACTCAAGTTCAACCAACACCTTATTCTCAAGTTTTTACAATTTCCACAACCTCAAGTTCAAAAACAACACAACCTCAAGTTCAAAAAACCCATAAACTAAAGTTCAAACAAAGCACAAAATCAAGTTCAACAAAAACCACAAACTCAAGTTCAACCAACACCTGATTCTCAAGTTTTAACAATTTTCACAACCTCAAGTTCAAAAATAACACAAACTCAAGTTCAAAAAATGGAAAAGTTTTAAGTTCAACCAACACCCAAATCTCAAGTTTAACAATTGCAACAACCTCAAGTTCAAACACGCCACGAACTCAAGTCAAAAACACCACAACCTCAAGTTCAAAAAAACACCACAAACTCAAGTTCAACCACCACCCAATCCTCAAGTTTAAAAATTTCCACAAACTGAAGTTCAAAAACCAAAACCTCAAGTTAAAAAAAACCACAAACTCAAGTTCAAAAAACACACAAACTCAAGTTAAACAAACAAGCAACATCAAGTCAAAAAACACCACAACCTCAAGATCAAACACGAAACAAACTCAAGTTCAATCAACACCCAAATCTCAAGTTTAACAATTTCCACAACCTCAAGTTCAAACACGCCACAAACTCAAGTTCAAAAACACCACAACCTCAAGCTCAACCAATTCCCAATTCTCAAGTTTAACAATTGCCACAACCTCAAGTTCAAAAACCGCCACAAACTCAAGTTCAAAAAACACCACAAACTGAAGTCCAAACACGACACAAACTCAAGTTCAACAAACACACAAACTCAAGTTCAACCAATACCCAATTCTCAAGTTTAACAATTTCAATAACCTCAAGTTCAAAAATACCACAAACTCGAGTTCAAAAACACCACAAAATCATGTTTAAACACGTCACAAACTCAAGTTCAACAAATGCCAAAAACTCAAGTTCAACAATTGCCACCAACTAAAGTTCACTAAAAACAACAGACTCAAGTTCAACAAACACCACAAACTCAAGTTCAAAAACACCACAAACTCGAGTTCAAAAACACCACAAAATCAAGTTCAAACACGTCACAAACTCAAGTTCAACAATTGCCACAACCTCAAGTTCAAAAACCGCCACAAACTCAAGTTCAAAAACACCACAACCTCAAGTTCAAAAAACACCACAAACTGAAGTCCAAACACGACACAAACTCAAGTTAAACAAACACACAAACTCAAGTTCAACCAATACCCAATTCTCAAGTTTAACAATTTCAACAACCTCAAGTTCAAAAACACCACAAACTCGAGTTCAAAAACACCACAAAATCATGTTTAAGAAGTCACAAACTCAAGTTCAACAAATGCCACCAACTAAAGTTCACTAAAAACAACAGACTCAAGTTCAACAATTGCCACAACCTCAAATTCAGAAACAACAAACTCAAGTTAAAAAAACACACAAACTCAAGTTCAACAAACACACAAACTCAAGTTCAAAAACACCACAACCTCAAGCTCAAAAACGACACAAACTCAAGTTCAACAAAAACCACAAACTCAAGTTCAACCAACACCTGATTCTCATGTTTTTACAATTTCCACAACCTCAAGTTCAAAAACAACACAAACTCAAGTACAAAAAAAACCATAAACTAAAGTTCAAACAAAGCACAAAATCAAGTTCAACCAATACCCAAACTCAAGTTCAACCAACACCTGATTCTCAAGTTTTAACAATTTTCACAACCTCAAGTTCAAAAACCACCACAAACTCAAGTTCAAACACGCCACAATCTCAAGTTCAAACACGCCACAAACCCAAGTCCAAAAAAACACCACAAACTCAAGTTCAAAAATACCACAACCTCAAGTTCAAACACAACACAAGCTGGAGTTCAACAAACACCACAAACTCAAGTTCAACAAATGGCAAAGTTCAATCAACACCCAAATCTCAAGTTTAACAATTGCAACAACCTCAAGTTCAAACACGCCACGAACTCAAGTCAAAAACACCACAGCCTCAAGTTCAAAAAACACCACAAACTCAAGTTCAACCAACACCCAAATCTCAATTTTAGAAATTGCCACAACCTCAAGTTCAAAAATAACACAAACTCAAGTTCAAACACGTCACAAACTCAAGTTCAACAAACGCCATAAACTCATGTTCAACAATTGCAACCAACTAAAGTTCACTAAAAACCACAGACTCAAGTTCAACAATTGCCAAAACCTCAAGTTCAGAAACAACAAACTCAAGTTAAAAAAACACACAAACTCAAGTTAAACAAACAAGCAACCTCAAGTTCAAAAACACCACAAACTCAAGATCAAACACGAAACAAACTCAAGTTCAACCAACACCTGATTCTCAAGTTTAACAATTTCCACAACCTCAAGTTCAAACACGCCACAAACTCAAGTTCAAAAACACCACAACCTCAAGCTCAAAAAACACCACAAACTGAAGTTCAAACACTACACAAACTCAAGTTCAAAAACACCACAAACTCGAGTTCAAAAACACCACAAAATCATGTTTAAACACGTCACAAACTCAAGTTCAACAAATGCCACAAACTCAAGTTCAACAATTGCCACCAACTAAAGTTCACTAAAAACAACAGACTCAAGTTCAACAATTGCCACAACCTCAAGTTCAGAAACAACAAACTCAAGTTAAAAAAACACACAAACTCAAGTTCAACAAACAAGCAACCTCAAGTTCAAAAACACCACAACCTCAAGCTCAAAAACTACACAAACTCAAGTTCAACAAAAACCACAAACTCAAGTTCAACCAACACCTTATTCTCAAGTTTTTACAATTTCCACAACCTCAAGTTCAAAAACAACACAACCTCAAGTACAAAAAACCCATAAACTAAAGTTCAAACAAAGCACAAAATCAAGTTCAACAAAAACCACAAACTCAAGTTCAACCAACACCTGATTCTCAAGTTTTAACAATTTTCACAAACTCAAGTTCAAAAATAACACAAACTCAAGTTCAAAAAATGGAAAAGTTTTAAGTTCAACCAACACCCAAATCTCAAGTTTAACAATTGCAACAACCTCAAGTTCAAACACGCCACGAACTCAAGTCAAAAACACCACAACCTCAAGTTCAAAAAAACACCACAAACTCAAGTTCAACCACCACCCAATCCTCAAGTTTAAAAATTTCCACAAACTGAAGTTCAAAAACCAAAACCTCAAGTTAAAAAAACCACAAACTCAAGTTCAAAAAACACACAAACTCAAGTTAAACAAACAAGCAACATCAAGTCAAAAAACACCACAACCTCAAGATCAAACACGAAACAAACTCAAGTTCAATCAACACCCAAATCTCAAGTTTAACAATTTCCACAACCTCAAGTTCAAACACGCCACAAACTCAAGTTCAAAAACACCACAACCTCAAGCTCAACCAATTCCCAATTCTCAAGTTTAACAATTGCCACAACCTCAAGTTCAAAAACCGCCACAAACTCAAGTTCAAAAAACACCACAAACTGAAGTCCAAACACGACACAAACTCAAGTTCAACAAACACACAAACTCAAGTTCAACCAATACCCAATTCTCAAGTTTAACAATTTCAATAACCTCAAGTTCAAAAACACCACAAACTCGAGTTCAAAAACACCACAAAATCAAGTTCAAACACGTCACAAACTCAAGTTCAACAATTGCCACAACCTCAAGTTCAAAAACCGCCACAAACTCAAGTTCAAAAACACCACAAACTGAAGTCCAAACACGACACAAACTCAAGTTCAACAAACACACAAACTCAAGTTCAACAAATACCCAATTCTCAAGTTTAACAATTTCCACAACCTCAAGTTCAAAAATACCACAAACTCGAGTTCAAAAACACCACAAAATCATGTTTAAACACGTCACAAACTCAAGTTCAACAAATGCCAAAAACTCAAGTTCAACAATTGCCACCAACTAAAGTTCACTAAAAACAACAGACTCAAGTTCAACAAACACCACAAACTCAAGTTCAAAAACACCACAAACTCGAGTTCAAAAACACCACAAAATCAAGTTCAAACACGTCACAAACTCAAGTTTAACAATTGCCACAACCTCAAGTTCAAAAACCGCCACAAACTCAAGTTCAAAAACACCACAACCTCAAGTTCAAAAAACACCACAAACTGAAGTCCAAACACGACACAAACTCAAGTTAAACAAACACACAAACTCAAGTTCAACCAATACCCAATTCTCAAGTTTAACAATTTCAACAACCTCAAGTTCAAAAACACCACAAACTCGAGTTCAAAAACACCACAAAATCATGTTTAAACACGTCACAAACTCAAGTTCACCCAATCCTCAAGTTTAAAAATTTCCACAAACTGAAGTTCAAAAAACCACAACCTCAAGTTAAAAAAACCCACAAACTCAAGTTCAAACACCACACAAACTCAAGTTCAACAAAAACCACAAACTGAAGTTCAACGAATGTCAAACTTTTAAGTTCAACCAACACCCAAATCTCAATTTTAGAAATTGCCACAACCTCAAGTTCAAAAATAACACAAACTCAAGTTCAAACACGTCACAAACTCAAGTTCAACAAACGCCATAAACTCATGTTCAACAATTGCAACCAACTAAAGTTCACTAAAAACCACAGACTCAAGTTCAACAATTGCCAAAACCTCAAGTTCAGAAACAACAAACTCAAGTTCAAAAACACCACAAACTCGAGTTCAAAAACACCACAAAATCATGTTTAAACACGTCACAAACTCAAGTTCAACAAATGCCACAAACTCAAGTTCAACAATTGCCACCAACTAAAGTTCACTAAAAACAACAGACTCAAGTTCAACAATTGCCACAACCTCAAGTTCAGAAACAACAAACTCAAGTTAAAAAAACACACAAACTCAAGTTCAACAAACACGCAAACTCAAGTTCAAAAACACCACAACCTCAAGCTCAAAAACTACACAAACTCAAGTTCAACAAAAACCACAAACTCAAGTTCAACCAACACCTGATTCTCAAGTTTAACAATTTCCACAACCTCAAGTTCAAACACGCCACAAACTCAAGTTCAAAAACACCACAACCTCAAGCTCAAAAAACACCACAAACTGAAGTTCAAACACTACACAAACTCAAGTTCAAAAACACCACAAACTCGAGTTCAAAAACACCACAAAATCATGTTTAAACACGTCACAAACTCAAGTTCAACAAATGCCACAAACTCAAGTTCAACAATTGCCACCAACTAAAGTTCACTAAAAACAACAGACTCAAGTTCAACAATTGCCACAACCTCAAGTTCAGAAACAACAAACTCAAGTTAAAAAAACACACAAACTCAAGTTCAACAAACACGCAAACTCAAGTTCAAAAACACCACAACCTCAAGCTCAAAAACTACACAAACTCAAGTTCAACAAAAACCACAAACTCAAGTTCAACCAACACCTTATTCTCAAGTTTTTACAATTTCCACAACCTCAAGTTCAAAAACAACACAACCTCAAGTACAAAAAACCCATAAACTAAAGTTCAAACAAAGCACAAAATCAAGTTCAACAAAAACCACAAACTCAAGTTCAACCAACACCTGATTCTCAAGTTTTAACAATTTTCACAACCTCAAGTTCAAAAATAACACAAACTCAAGTTCAAAAAATGGAAAAGTTTTAAGTTCAACCAACACCCAAATCTCAAGTTTAACAATTGCAACAACCTCAAGTTCAAACACGCCACGAACTCAAGTCAAAAACACCACAACCTCAAGTTCAAAAAAACACCACAAACTCAAGTTCAACCACCACCCAATCCTCAAGTTTAAAAATTTCCACAAACTGAAGTTCAAAAACCAAAACCTCAAGTTAAAAAAAACCACAAACTCAAGTTCAAAAAACACACAAACTCAAGTTAAACAAACAAGCAACATCAAGTCAAAAAACACCACAACCTCAAGATCAAACACGAAACAAACTCAAGTTCAATCAACACCCAAATCTCAAGTTTAACAATTTCCACAACCTCAAGTTCAAACACGCCACAAACTCAAGTTCAAAAACACCACAACCTCAAGCTCAACCAATTCCCAATTCTCAAGTTTAACAATTGCCACAACCTCAAGTTCAAAAACCGCCACAAACTCAAGTTCAAAAAACACCACAAACTGAAGTCCAAACACGACACAAACTCAAGTTCAACAAACACACAAACTCAAGTTCAACCAATACCCAATTCTCAAGTTTAACAATTTCAATAACCTCAAGTTCAAAAATACCACAAACTCGAGTTCAAAAACACCACAAAATCATGTTTAAACACGTCACAAACTCAAGTTCAACAAATGCCAAAAACTCAAGTTCAACAATTGCCACCAACTAAAGTTCACTAAAAACAACAGACTCAAGTTCAACAAACACCACAAACTCAAGTTCAAAAACACCACAAACTCGAGTTCAAAAACACCACAAAATCAAGTTCAAACACGTCACAAACTCAAGTTCAACAATTGCCACAACCTCAAGTTCAAAAACCGCCACAAACTCAAGTTCAAAAACACCACAACCTCAAGTTCAAAAAACACCACAAACTGAAGTCCAAACACGACACAAACTCAAGTTAAACAAACACACAAACTCAAGTTCAACCAATACCCAATTCTCAAGTTTAACAATTTCAACAACCTCAAGTTCAAAAACACCACAAACTCGAGTTCAAAAACACCACAAAATCATGTTTAAACACGTCACAAACTCAAGTTCAACAAATGCCACCAACTAAAGTTCACTAAAAACAACAGACTCAAGTTCAACAATTGCCACAACCTCAAATTCAGAAACAACAAACTCAAGTTAAAAAAACACACAAACTCAAGTTCAACAAACACACAAACTCAAGTTCAAAAACACCACAACCTCAAGCTCAAAAACGACACAAACTCAAGTTCAACAAAAACCACAAACTCAAGTTCAACCAACACCTGATTCTCATGTTTTTACAATTTCCACAACCTCAAGTTCAAAAACAACACAAACTCAAGTACAAAAAAAACCATAAACTAAAGTTCAAACAAAGCACAAAATCAAGTTCAACCAATACCCAAACTCAAGTTCAACCAACACCTGATTCTCAAGTTTTAACAATTTTCACAACCTCAAGTTCAAAAACCACCACAAACTCAAGTTCAAACACGCCACAATCTCAAGTTCAAACACGCCACAAACTCAAGTCCAAAAAAACACCACAAACTCAAGTTCAAAAATACCACAACCTCAAGTTCAAACACAACACAAGCTGGAGTTCAACAAACACCACAAACTCAAGTTCAACAAATGGCAAAGTTCAATCAACACCCAAATCTCAAGTTTAACAATTGCAACAACCTCAAGTTCAAACACGCCACGAACTCAAGTCAAAAACACCACAACCTCAAGTTCAAAAAACACCACAAACTCAAGTTCAACCACCACCCAATCCTCAAGTTTAAAAATTTCCACAAACTGAAGTTCAAAAAACCACAACCTCAAGTTAAAAAAAACCACAAACTCAAGTTAAAAAACACACAAACTCAAGTTAAACAAACAAGCAACCTCAAGTCCAAAAACACCACAACCTCAAGATCAAACACGAAACAAACTCAAGTTCAATCAACACCCAAATCTCAAGTTTAACAAATTCCACAACCTCAAGTTCAAACACGCCACAAACTCAAGTTCAAAAACACCACAACCTCAAGCTCAACCAATTCCCAATTCTCAAGTTTAACAATTTCCACAACCTGAAGTTCAAAAATAACACAAACTCAAGTTCAAACACGTCACAAACTCAAGTTCAACAAATGCCACAAACTCAAGTTCAACAATTGCCACCAAATAAAGTTCACTAAAAACAACAGACTCAAGTTCAACAATTGCCACAACCTCAAGTTCAGAAACAACAAACTCAAGATAAAAAAACACAAACTCAAGTTCAAACACAACACAAACTCAAGTTCAAACACGTCACAAACTCAAGTTCAACAATTTCCACTACCTCAAGTTCAAAAACCGCCACAAACTCAAGTTCAAAAACACCACAACCTCAAGTTCAAAAAACACTACAAACTGAAGTTCAAACACGACACAAACTCAAGTTCAACAAACACACAAACTCAAGTTCAACCAATACCCAATTTTCAAGTTCAACAATTGCAACAACCTCAAGTTCAAAAACCGCCAAAAACTCAAGTTCAAAAACACCACAACCTCAAGTTCAAAAAACACCACAAACTCAAGTTCAAACACGACACAAACTGAAGTTCAACAAAGACAAAAACTCGAGTTCAAAAACACCACAACCTCAAGTTCAAACACGACACAAACTCAAGTTCAACAAACACCACAAACTCAAGTTCAAAAACAACACAAACTCAAGTTCAAAAACACCATAAAATCAAGTACAAACACGTCACAAACTCAAGTTCAACAATTGCCACAACCTCAAGTTCAAAAACACCACAACCTCAAGTTCAAAAAACACCACAAACTCAAGTTCAAACACGACACAAACTCAAGTTCAACAAACACAAAAACTCAAGTTCAACCAATACCCAATTCTCAAGTTCAACAAACACCACAAACTCAAGTTCAAAAACACCACAAATTCGAATTCAAAAACACCAGCAAATCAAGTTCAAACACGTCACAAACTCAAGTTCAACAATTGCCACAACCTCAAGTTCAAAAACCGCCACAAACTCAAGTTCAAAAACACCACAACTTCAAGTTCAACCAACACCACAAACTCAAGTTCAAAAACAACACAAACTCAAGTACAACAAACACAAAAACTCGAGTTCAACAACACCACAACCTCAAGTTCAAATACGACACAAACTCAAGTTCAACAAACACCACAAACTCGAGTTCAATAACACCACAAAATCAAGTTCAAACACGTCACAAACTCAAGTTCAACAATTGCCACAACCTCAAGTTCAAAAATACCAAAAACTCAAGTTCAAAAACACCACAACCTAAAGTTCAAAAAACACCACAAACTGAAGTTCAAACACGACACAAACTCAAGTTCAACAAACACACAAACTCAAGTTCAACCAATACCCAATTCTCAAGTTCAACAATTGCCACAACCTCAAGTTCAGAAACAACAAACTCAAATTAAAAAAACACACAAACTCAAGTTCAACAAAAACCACAAACTCAAGTTCAACCAACACCTGATTCTCAAGTTTTTACAATTTCCACAACCTCAAGTTCAAAAACAACACAACCTCAAGTTCAAAAAACACCACAAACTCAAGTTCAAACACGACAAAAATTGAAGTTCAACAAACACAAAATCTTGAGTTCAACAACACACAAACTCAAGTTCAACAAAAACCACAAACTCATGATTCTCAAGTTTTTACAATTTCCAAAACCTCAAGTTCAAAAACAACACAAACGCAAGTACAAAAAAAACATAAACTAAAGTTCAAACAAAGCACAAAATCAAGTTCAACAAAAACCACAAACTCAAGTTCAACCAACACCTGATTCTCAAGTTTTAACAATTTTCACAACCTCAAGTTCAAAAACCACCACAAACTCAAGTTCAAACACGCCACAATCTCAAGTTCAAACACGCCACAAACTCAAGTTAAAAAAACACACAAACTCAGGTTCAAAAATACCACAACCTCAAGTTCAAACATAACACAAGCTGGAGTTCAACAAACACCACAAACTCAAGTTCAACAAATGGCAAAGTTTTAAGTTCAACCAACACCCAAATCTCAAGTTTAACAATTGCAACAACCTCAAGTTCAAACACGCCACGAACTCAAGTCAAAAACACCACAACCTCAAGTTCAAAAAACACCACAAACTGAAGTTCAAACACAACGCAAACTGAAGTTCAAAAAACAAAAAAACTCGAGTTCAAAAACACAACAACCTCAAGTTCAAACACGACACAAACTCAAGTTCAAAAAACACACAAACTCAGGTTCAAAAATACCACAACCTCAAGTTCAAACATAACACAAGCTGGAGTTCAACAAACACAACAAATTCAAGTTCAACAAATGGTAAAGTTTTAAGTTCAACCAACACCCAAATCTCAAGTTTAACAATTGCAACAACCTCAAGTTCAAACACGCCAGGAACTCAAGTCAAAAACACCACAACCTCAAGTTCAAAAAACACCACAAACTGAAGTTCAAACACAACGCAAACTGAAGTTCAAAAAACAAAAAAACTCGAGTTCAAAAACACAACAACCTCAAGTTCAAACACGACACAAACTCAAGTTCAAAAAACTCCACAAACTCAAGTTCAAAAACAACACAAACTCGAGTTCAAAAACACCACAAAATAAAGTTCAAACACATCACAAACTCCAGTTCAAAAATTGCCACAACCTCAAGTTCAAAAACCGCCACAAACTCAAGTTCAAAAACACCACAACTTCAAGTTCAAACACGCCAAAATCTCAAGTTCAAACACGCCACAAACTCAAGTTAAAAAAACACACAAACTCAGGTTCAAAAATACCACAACCTCAAGTTCAAACATAACACAAGCTGGAGTTCAACAAACACCACAAACTCAAGTTCAATAAATGGCAAAGTTTTAAGTTCAACCAACACCCAAATCTCAAGTTTAACAATTGCAACAACCTCAAGTTCAAACACGCCACGAACTCAAGTCAAAAACACCACAACCTCAAGTTCAAAAAACACCACAAACTGAAGTTCAAACACAACGCAAACTGAAGTTCAAAAAACAAAAAAACTCGAGTTCAAAAACACAACAACCTCAAGTTCAAACACGACACAAACTCAAGTTCAAAAAACACACAAACTCAGGTTCAAAAATACCACAACCTCAAGTTCAAACATAACACAAGCTGGAGTTCAACAAACACAACAAATTCAAGTTCAACAAATGGTAAAGTTTTAAGTTCAACCAACACCCAAATCTCAAGTTTAACAATTGCAACAACCTCAAGTTCAAACACGCCATGAACTCAAGTCAAAAACACCACAACCTCAAGTTCAAAAAACACCACAAACTGAAGTTCAAACACAACGCAAACTGAAGTTCAAAAAACACCACAAACTCAAGTTCAAAAACACCACAAACTCGAGTTCAAAAACACCACAAAATAAAGTTAAAACACGACACAAACTCAAGTTCAAAAAACACCACAAACTCGAGTTCAAAAACACCACAAAATAAAGTTCAAACACGTCACAAACTCAAGTTCAAAAATTGCCACAACCTCAAGTTCAAAAAACCGCCAAAAACTCAAGTTCAAAAACACCACAACTTCAAGTTCAAAGAACACCACAAACTCAAGTTCAAAAACGACACAAACTGAAGTTCAACAAACACAAAAACTCGAGTTCAACAACACCACAACCTCAAGTTCAAACACGACACAAACTCAAGTTCAACAAACACCACAAACTCAAGTTCAAAAACACCACAAACTCGAGTTCAATAACGCCACAAAATCAAGTTCAAACACGGCACAAACTCAAGTTCAACAATTGCCACTACCTCAAGTTCAAAAACTGCAACAAACTCAAGTTAAAAAACACCACAACCTCAAGTTCAAAAAACACTACAAACTGAAGTTCAAACACGACACAAACTCAAGTTCAACAAACACACAAACTCGAGTTCAACCAATACCCAATTTTCAAGTTCAACAATTGCAACAACCTCAAGTTCAAAAACCGCCACAAACTCAAGTTCAAAAACACCACAACCTCAAGTTCAAAAAACACCACAAACTCAAGTTCAAACACGACACAAACTCAAGTTCAACAAACACAAAAACTCGAGTTCAAAAACACCACAACCTCAAGTTCAAACACGAAAAAAACTCAAGTTCAACAAACACCACAAACTCAAGTTCAAAAACAACACGAACTCGAGTTCAAAAACACAACAAAATCAAGTTCAAACACGTCACAAACTCAAGTTCAACAATTGCCACAAGCTCAAGTTCAAAAACACCAAAAACTCAAGTTCAAAAAACACCACAACCTCAAGTTCAAAAAACACACAAACTCAAGTTCAACCAATACCCAATTTTCAAGTTCAACAATTGCAACAACCTCAAGTTCAAAAACCGCCACAAACTCAAGTTCAAAAACAACACGAACTCGAGTTCAAAAACACCACAAAATCAAGTTCAAACACGTCACAAACTCAAGTTCAACAATTGCCACAACCTCAAGTTCAAAAACACCAAAAACTCAAGTTCAAACACGACACAAACTCAAGTTCAACCAATACCCAATTTTCAAGTTCAACAATTGCAACAACCTCAAGTTCAAAAACCGCCACAAACTCAAGTTCAAAAACACCACAACCTCAAGTTCAAAAAACACCACAAACTCAAGTTCAAACACGACACAAACTCAAGTTCAACAAACACAAAAACTCGAGTTCAAAAACACCACAACCTCAAGTTCAAACACGACACAAACTCAAGTTCAACAAACACCACAAACTCAAGTTCAAAAACAACACGAACTCGAGTTCAAAAACACAACAAAATCAAGTTCAAACACGTCACAAACTCAAGTTCAACAATTGCCACAACCTCAAGTTCAAAAACACCAAAAACTCAAGTTCAAAAACACCACAACCTCAAGTTCAAAAAACACCACAAACTGAAGTTCAAACACGACACAAACTCAAGTTCAACAAACACACAAACTCAAGTTCAACCAATACCCAATTATCAAGTTCAACAATTGCCAAAACCTCAAGTTCAGAAACAAGAAACTCAAGTTAAAAAAACAAACAAAATCAAGTTCAACAAAAACCACAAACTCAAGTTCAACCAACACCTGATTCTCGTTTTTACAATTTCCACAACCTCAAGTTAAAAAAACACCACAAACTCAAGTACAAAAAAACATAAACTAAAGTTCAATCAAAGCACAAAATCAAGTTCAACAGAAACCACAAACTCAAGTTCAACCAACACCTGATTCTCAAGTTTTAACAATTTTCACAACCTCAAGTTAAAAAAACCACAAACTCAAGTTCAAACACGCCAAAAACTGAAGTTCATCAAACACAAAAACTCGAGTTCAAAAACACCACAACCTCAAGTTCAAACACGACACAAACTCAAGTTCAACAAAAACCACACTCAAGTTCAACAAAAGTCAAACTTTTAAGTTCAACCAACACCCAATTCTCAATTTTAGAAATTGCCACAACCTAAAGTTCAAAAATAACACAAACTGAAGTTCATCCACGTCACAAACTCAAGTTCAACAAACGCCATAAACTCATGTTCAACAATTGCAACCAACTAAAGTTCACTAAAAACCACAGACTCAAGTTCAACAATTGCCAAAACCTCAAGTTCAGAAACAACAAGCTCAAGTTCAAAAAACACACAAATTCAAGTTAAACAAACAAGAAACCTCAAGTTCAAAAACACCACAACCTCAAGTTCAAACACGTCACAAACTCAAGTTCAACAATTGCCACAACCTCAAGTTCAAAAACCGCCACAAACTCAAGTTCAAAAAAACCACAACCTCAAGTTCAAAAAACACCACAAACTGAAGTTCAAACACGACACAAACTCAAGTTCAACAAACACAAAAACTCGAGTTCAACCAATACCCAATTCTCAAGTTTAACAATTTCCACAACCTCAAGTTCAAAAACATTACAAACTCGAGTTCAACAAAAACCACAAACTGAAGTTCAACAAATGTCAAACTTTTAAGTTCAACCAACACCCAAATCTCAATTTTAGAAATTGCCACAACCTCAAGTTAAAAAAACACACAAACTCAAGTTCAACAAACACGCAAACTCAAGTTTAAAAACACCACAACCTCAAGCTCAAAAACGACACAAACTCAAGTTCAACAAAAACCACAAACTCAAGTTCAACAAAAACCACAAACTCAAGTTCAACAACACCTGATTCTCAAGTTTTAACAATTTTCACAACCTCAAGTTCAAAAACCACCACAAACTCAAGTTCAAACACGCCACAATCTCAAGTTCAAACACGCCATAAAACTTGAGTTCAAAAACCGCCACAAACTCAATTCAAAAATACCACAACTTCAAGTTCAAACACAACACAAGCTGGAGTTCAACATACACCACAAACTCAAGTTCAACAAATGGCAAAGTTTTAAGTTCAACCAACACCTAAATCTCAAGTTTAACAATTGCAACAACCTCAAGTTCAAACACGCCACGAACTCAAGTCAAAAACACCACAACCTCAAGTTCAAAAAACACCACAAACTCAAGTTCAACCACCACCCAATCCTCAAGTTTAAAAATTTCCACAAACTGAAGTTCAAAAAACCACAACCTCAAGTTAAAAAAACCACAAACTTAAGTTCAAACACGCCAAAAACTGAAGTTCAACAAACACAAAAACTCGAGTTCAAAAACACCACAACCTCAAGTTCAAACACGACACAAACTCAAGTTCTACAAAAACCACACTCAAGTTCAACAAATGTCAAACTTTTAAGTTCAACCAACACAGAATTCTCAATTTTAGAAATTGCCACAACCTCAAGTTCAAAAATAACACAAACTCAAGTTGATCCACGTCACAAACTCAAGTTCAACAAACGCCATAAACTCATGTTCAACAATTGCAACCAACTAAAGTTCACTAAAAACCACAGACTCAAGTTCAACAATTGCCAAAACCTCAAGTTCAGAAACAACAAACTCAAGTTCAAAAAACACACAAACTCAAGTTAAACAAACAAGAAACCTCAAGTTCAAAAACACCACAACCTCAAGATCAAACACGAAACAAACTCAAGTTCAATTAACACCCAAATCTCAAGTTTACGTTTTTCCACAACCTCAAGTTCAAACACGCCACAAACTCAAGCTCAAAAACACCACAACCTCAAGCTCAAAAAACACCACAAACTCAAGTTCAAACACTACACAAACTCAAGTTCAAAAACAACACAAACTCGAGTTCAAACACGAAACAAACTCAAGTTCAACAAACACACAAACTCAAGTTCAACCAACCCCTGATTCTCAAGTTTAACAATTTCCACAACCTCAAGTTCAAAAACAACAGAAACCCAAGTTGAACCAACACCCGATTCTCAAGTTTAACAATTTCCACAAACTCAAGTTCAAAAACACCACAAACTCAAGTTCAAAAACGACACAAACTAAAGTTAAACAAACAGCTCAAACTCAAGTTCAACAAACGTCAAAGTTTTAAGTTCAACCAACACCAAAATCTCAATTTAACAATTGCAACAACCTCAAGTTCAAACACTACACAAACTCAAGTTCAAAAACACCATAAACTCAAGTTAAAAAACGCCACAAACTCAAGTTCAAACACGACACAAACTCAAGTTCAACGAACACCAAAAACTCAAGTTCAAAAACACCACAAACTCAAGTTCAAACACGACACAAACTCAAGTTCAACAAACACCACAAACTCAAGTTCAACCAACACCCAATCCTCATGTTTAACAATTTCCACACACTGAAGTTCAAAAAACCACAACCTCAAGTTAAAAAAAACCACAAACTCAAGTTCAAACACCACAAACTTAAGTTCAACAATCACAAATACTCGAGCTCAAAAACACCACAACCTCAAGTTCAAACACGACACAAACTTAAGTTAAAAAAAACCCACAAACTTTTAAGTTCAACCAACACCCAAATCTCAATTTTAGAAATTGCCACAACCTAAAGTTCAAAAGCAACACAACCTCAAGTTCAAAAACACCACAACCTGAGGCTCAAAAAACACCACAAACCGAAGTTCAAACACGACACAAACTCAAGTTCAAAAAACACACAAACTCAAGTTCAACCAATACCAAATTTTCAAGTTTAACAATTTCTAACAACCTCAAGTTCAAAAACACCACAAACTCAAGTTCAAAAAAACCATAAACTCAAGTTCAAACACGACACAAACTCAAGTTCAACAAACACACAAACTCAATTTCAACCAATACCCAATTCTCAAGTTTAACAAATTCCACAACCTCAAGTTCAAAAACACCACAAACTCAAGTTCAACAAAAACCACAAACCCAAGTTCAACAATTGCCACAAACTCAAGTTCAACAATTGCCACAAACTCAAGTTCAGAAACAACAAACTCAAGTTAAAAAAAACACAAACTCAAGTTTAACAAACACGCAAACTCAAATTCAAAAACACCACAAACTCAAGCTCAAACACGACACAAACTTAAGTTAAAAAAAACAAATACTCAAGTTCAATCAACACCTGATTCTCAAGTTTAACAAGTTCCACAACCTCAAGTTGAAAAATAACACAAACTCAAGTACAAAACACCACAAACTCAAGTTCAAAAACACCACAACCTCAAGCTTAAAAAACACCACAAACTGAAGTAAAAACACAAAACAATCTCTTGTTCAACAAACACACAAACTCAAGTTCAACCAATACCCAATTCTCAAGTTTCACAATTTCCAACACCTCAAGTTCAAAAACACCACAAACTCAAGTTCAAAAACACCACAAACTCAAGTTCAACCACGATTCAAACTCAAGTTCAAAAACACCACAAACTCAAGTTCAAAGACACCAAAAACTAAAGTTCAAAAAACACACAAACTCAAGTTTGAAAACACCAAAAACTCAAGTTCAAACAAGACACAAACTTAAGTTCAACAAACACACAAACTCAAGTTCAACAAATGCCAAACTTTTAAGTTGAACCAACACCCAAATCTCAAGTTCAACAATTGCCAGAACCTAGAGTTCAACAAACGCCACAAACTCAAGTTCAAACACGAAACAAACTCAAGTTCAAAAACACCACAAACTCAAGTTCAACAATTGCCACCAATTAAAGTTCACCAAAAACCACAGACTCAAGTTCAACAATTGCCACAAACTCAAGTTCAAAAAAATTAAGTTCAAAAAACACACAAATTCAAGTTCAACAAACAACACGAACTCAAGTTCAAACACGACACAAACTCAAGTTCAACCAACAACCAAATCTCAAGTTTAACAATTGCCACAACCTAGAGTTCAACAAACGCCACAACTCAAGTTCAACAAACACACAAACTCAAGTTCAAAAAGACCACAAACTCAAGTTCAAACATGACACAAACTCAAGTTCAACAATCACAAATACTCGAGCTCAAAAACACCACAACCTCAAGTTCAAACACGACACAAACTCAAGTAAAAAAAAAACCACAAACTCAAGTTCAACAAATGACAAACTTTTAAGTTCAACCAACACCCAAATCTCAATGTTAGAAATTGCCACAACCTAAAGTTCAAAAGCAACACAACCTCAAGTTCAAAAACACCACAACCTCAGGCTCAAAAAACACCACAAACCGAAGTTCAAACACGAAACAAACTCAAGTTCAAAAACACCACAAACTCAAGTTCAACCACGATTCAAACTCAAGTTCAAAAACACCACAAACTCAAGTTCAAAGACACCAAAAACTAAAGTTCAAAAAACACACAAACTCAAGTTTGAAAACACCAAAAACTCAAGTTCAAACAAGACACAAACTTAAGTTCAACAAACACACAAACTCAAGTTCAACAAATGCCAAACTTTTAAGTTGAACCAACACCCAAATCTCAAGTTCAACAATTGCCACAACCTAGAGTTCAACAAACGCCACAAACTCAAGTTCAAACACGAAACAAACTCAAGTTCAAAAACACCACAAACTCAAGTTCAACAATTGCCACCAATTAAAGTTCACCAAAAACCACAGACTCAAGTTCAACAATTGCCACATACTCAAGTTCAAAAAAATTAAGTTCAAAAAACACACAAATTCAAGTTCAACAAACAACACGAACTCAAGTTCAAACACGACACAAACTCAAGTTCAACCAACAACCAAATCTCAAGTTTAACAATTGCCACAACCTAGAGTTCAACAAACGCCACAACTCAAGTTCAACAAACACACAAACTCAAGTTAAAAAATACCACAAACTCAAGTTCAAACATGACACAAACTCAAGTTCAACAATCACAAATACTCGAGCTCAAAAACACCACAACCTCAAGTTCAAACACGACACAAACTCAAGTTAAAAAAAAACCACAAACTCAAAAAGAAAACACAAAACACAAAAAAAGTTCAACAAATGACAAACTTTTAAGTTCAACCAACACCCAAATCTCAATTTTAGAAATTGCCACAACCTAAAGTTCAAAAGCAACACAACCTCAAGTTCAAAAACACCACAACCTCAGGCTCAAAAAACACCACAAACCGAAGTTCAAATACGAAACAAACTCAAGTTCAACAAACACACAAACTCAAGTTCAACCAATACCAAATTTTCAAGTTTAACAATTTCTAACAACCTCAAGTTCAAAAACACCACAAACTCAAGTTCAAAAAAACCATAAACTCAAGTTCAAACACGACACAAAGTCAAGTTCAACAAACACACAAACTCAATTTCAACCAATACCCAATTCTCAAGTTTAACAAATTCCACAACCTCAAGTTCAAAAACACCACAAACTCAAGTTCAACAAAAACCACAAACCCAAGTTCAACAAATGTCAAACTCAAGTTCAACAATTGCCACAAACTCAAGTTCAGAAACAACAAACTCAAGTTAAAAAAAACACAAACTCAAGTTTAACAAACACGCAAACTCAAATTCAAAAACACCACAAACTCAAGCTCAAACACGACACAAACTTAAGTTAAAAAAAACAAATACTCAAGTTCAATCAACACCTGATTCTCAAGTTTAACAAGTTCCACAACCTCAAGTTGAAAAATAACACAAACTCAAGTACAAAACACCACAAACTCAAGTTCAAAAACACCACAACCTCAAGCTTAAAAAACACCACAAACTGAAGTAAAAACACAAAACAATCTCTTGTTCAACAAACACACAAACTCAAGTTCAACCAATACCCAATTCTCAAGTTTCACAATTTCCAACACCTCAAGTTCAAAAACACCACAAAGTCATGTTCAAAAACACCACAAACTCAAGTTCAAAAACACCACAAACTCAAGTTCAAAGACACCAAAAACTAAAGTTCAAAAAACACACAAACTCAAGTTTGAAAACACCAAAAACTCAAGTTCAAACAAGACACAAACTTAAGTTCAACAAACACACAAACTCAAGTTCAACAAATGCCAAACTTTTAAGTTGAACCAACACCCAAATCTCAAGTTCAACAATTGCCAGAACCTAGAGTTCAACAAACGCCACAAACTCAAGTTCAAACACGAAACAAACTCAAGTTCAAAAACACCACAAACTCAAGTTCAAAAACACAACACACCCTCAACTTCAAAACACCAAAAACTCAAGTTCAAAAACACCACAAACAAAGTTCAAACACGAAACAAACTCAAGTTCAAAAAAGCCACAAACTCAAGTTCAACAATTGCCACCAATTAAAGTTCACCAAAAACCACAGACTCAAGTTCAACAATTGCCACAAACTCAAGTTCAAAAAAATTAAGTTCAAAAAACACACAAACTCAAGTTCAACAAACAACACAAACTCAAGTTCAAACACGAAACAAACTCAAGTTCAACCAACAACCAAATCTCAAGTTTAACAATTGCCACAACTCAAGTTCAACAAACACACAAACTCAAGTTCAAAAAGACCACAAACTCAAGTTCAAACATGACACAAACTCAAGTTCAACAAACACACAAACTCAAATTCAACCAATACCAAATTCTCAAGTTTAACAAATTCCACACCCTCAAGTTCAAAAACACCAAAATCTCAAGTTCAAAAACACGACACAAACTCAAGTTCATACATGACACAAACTGAGGTTCAAACATAACACAAACTCAAGTTCAAAAAACATCCAAACTCAAGTTTAACAAATTCCACAACCTCAAGTTCAAAAACACCACAAACTCAAGTTCAACAAAAACCACAAACCCAAGTTCAACAAATGTCAAACTCAAGTTCAATAATTGCCAAAAACTCAAGTTCAGAAACAACAAACTCAAGTTAAAAAAACACAAACTCAAGTTTAACAAACACACAAACTCAAATTCAAAAACACCACAAACTCGAGCTCAAACACGACACAAACAAAAGTTAAAAAAAACAAATACTCAAGTTCAATCAACACCTGATTCTCAAGTTTAACAAGTTCCACAACCTCAAGTTGAAAAATAACACAAACTCAAGTACAAAACACCACAAACTCAAGTTCAAAAACACCACAACCTCAAGCTTAAAAAACACCACAAACTGAAGTAAAAACACAAAACAATCTCTTGTTCAACAAACACACAAACTCAAGTTCAACCAATACCCAATTCTCAAGTTTCACAATTTCCAACACCTCAATTTCAAAAACACCACAAACTCAAGTTCAAAAAACACACAAACTCAAGTTCAAACAAGACACAAACTTCAGTTCAACATACACACAAACTCATGTTCAACAAATGCCAAACTTTTAAGTTGAACCAACACCCAATTCTCAAGTTCAACAATTGCCACAGCCTAGAGTTCAACAAACGCCACAAACTCAAGTTCAAACACGAAACAAACTCAAGTTCAAAAACACCACAAACTCAAGTTGAAAAACACAACACACCCTCAAGTTCAAAAACACCAAAAACTCAAGTTCAACAATTGCCACCAATTAAAGTTCACAAACAACCAAATCTCAAGTTTAACAATTGCCACAACCTAGAGTTCAACAAACGCCACAACTCAAGTTCAACAAACACACAAACTCAAGTTCAAAAAGACCACAAACTCAAATTCAAACATGACACAAACTCAAGTTCAACAAACACACAAACTCAAATTCAACCAATACCCAATTCTCAAGTTTAACAAATTCCACACCCTCAAGTTCAAAAACACCACAAACTCAAGTTCAACAAACGCCACAAACTCAAGTTCAAACACGACACAAATTCAAGTTCAAAAACAACAGAAACTCAAGTTCAACAAACGCCACAAACTCAAGTTCAAACACGACACAAATTCAAGTTCAAAAACAACAGAAACTCAAGTTCAACAAACGCCACAAACTCAAGTTCAAACACGAAACAAACTCAAGTTCAAAAACACCACAAACTCAAGTTCAAACACGACACAAACTCTAGTTAAAAAACACAAAAAAATCAAGTTCAACCAATACCCAATTCTCAAGTTTAACAATTTCCACAACCTCAAGTTCAAAAACACCAAAAATTCAAGTTCAAAAACACGCCAAACTCAAGTTCAAACACGACACAAACTGAAGTTCAACAATTGCCACAAATTAAAGTTCAAACACAAAACAAATTCAAGTTCAAAATTACCACAAACTCAAGTTCAACAAATACCCAATTCTCAAGTTTAACAATTTCCACAACCTCAAGTTCAAAAACATCACAAACTCAAGTTCAACAAACATCACAAACTCAAGTTCAACCAATACCCAATTCTAAAGTTTAACAAATTCCACACCCTCAAGTTAAAAAAAAACACAAACTCAAGTTCAAAAACCCCATTAACTCAAGTTCAAACACATTACAAACTCAATTTCAACAAACGCCACAAACTCAAGTTCAAACAAGAAACAAACTCAAGTTCAAAAAAACCACAAACTCAAGTTCAAACACAACACAAACTCAAGTTCAACAAACACCACAAACTAAATTTCCAACATGATACAAACTCAAGTTCAACAAACACACTAACTGAAGTTCATCCAACACCTGATTCTCAAGTTTCAAAATTTCAACAAACACAAGTTCAAAAACACCACAAACTCAAGTTCAAACACAAACTCAAGTTCAACAAACACATAAAATCAAGTTAAAAAACACCACAAACTCAAGTTCAAACTCGACACAAACTCAAGTTCAACAAAAACACAAACTCAAGTTCAACCAATACCCAATTCTCAAGATTAACAAATTCCACACCCTCAAGTTCAAAAACACCACAAACTCAAGTTCAATCAAAACCCAATTCTCAAGTTTTAGAAATTCCACACCCTCAAGTAAAAAAAAAACCACAACTTCAAGTTCAAAAAACAACAGATACTCAAGTTCAAAAAACACACAAACTTAAGGTCACCAAACACGCACCTCAAGTTCAAAAAGACCACAAACTCAAATTCAAACACTACACAAACCCAATTTAAAAAACATAAAAACGCAAGTTCAACAAATACCCAATTCTCAAGTTTAACAAATTCCACACCCTCAAGTTCAAAAACACCACAAACTCATGTTCAAAAACACCACAAACTCAAGTTCAAAAACACCACAAACTCAAGTTCAGACACGACACAAACTCAAGTTCAACAAACGCCACAAACTCAAGTTCAAACATAACACAAAATCAAGTTAAACAAACACACAAACTCAAGTTAAAACACGACACAAACTCAAGTTCAAAAACACCACAAACTCAAGTTCAAACACAAACTCAAGTTCAACAAACACACAAAATCAAGTAAAAAAACACCACAAACTCAAGTTCAAACTCCACACAAACTCAAGTTCAAAAAACACACAAACTCAAGTTCAACCAATACCCAATTCTCATGTTTAACAAATTCCACACCCTCAAGTTCAAAAACATCACAAACTCATGTTCAAAAACACCACAAACTCAAGTTCAGACACGACACAAACTCAAGTTCAACAAACGCCACAAACTCAAGTTCAAACACGACACAAATTCAAGTTCAAAAACAACAGAAACTCAAGTTCAACAAACCCCACAAACTCAAGTTCAAACACGAAACAAACTCAAGTTAAAAAACACCACAAACTCAAGTTCAACCAAAACCCAATTCTCAAGTTTAAGAAATTCCACACCCTCAAGTTAAAAAAAAACCACAACTTCATGTTCAAAAAACAACAGATACTCAAGTTCAAAAAACACACAAACTTAAGGTCACCAAACATGCACCTCAAGTTCAAAAACACCACAAACTCAGGTTCAAACACTACACAAACCCAATTAAAAAAACATAAAAACGCAAGTTCTACAAATACCCAATTCTCAAGTTTAACAATTTGCACACCCTCAAGATCAAGATCACCACAAACTCAAGTTCGAACACAACACAAACTCAAGTTCAACAAACACACAAACTCAAGTTCAAAAACATCACAAACTCAAGTTAAAACACGAACCAAACTCAAGTTCAACAAAATAACAAACTCAAGTTCAACCAATACCCAATTCTCAGGTTTAACAATTTCAACAACCTCAAATTCAAACACGACACAAACTCAAGTTCAACAAACACACTTACTCAAGTTCAAAAACACCACAATCTCAAGATCAAACATGAAAAAAACTCAAGTTCAACGAACACAAAAACTCAAGTTCGAAAACACCACAAACTCATGGTCAAACACGCTACAAACTCAAGTTCAAACACGACAAAAACTCAAGTTCAACAAACACTAACTTAAGTTAATCCCACACCTGATTCTCAATTTCAACAATCTCCACAAACTCAAGTTCAAAAACACACAAACTCAAGGTCACCAAACACGCACCTCAAGTTCAAAAACACCACAAACTCAGGTTCAAACACTACACAAACCCAATTTAAAAAACATAAAAACGCAAGTTCAACAAATACCCAATTCTCAAGTTTAACAATTTGCACAACCTCAAGATCAAAATCACCACAAAGTCAAGTTCGAACACAACACAAACTCAAGTTCAACAAACAGACAAACTCAAGTTCAAAAACACCACAAACTCAAGTTCAAACACAACACACCCTCAAGTTCAACCTCAAGTTCAACAAACACACTAACTCAAGTTCAACCAACACCTGAATCTCAAGTTTAACAATTTCCACAAACTCAAGTTCAAACACGACACAATCTCAAGTTCAAACACGAAACAAACTCAAGTTCAACAAACACAAAAACTCAAGGTCAAAATCACCACAAACTCAAGTTCAAACACGGCAAAAAAACTCAAGTTCAAAAAGCACACTAACTCAAGTTCAACCAACACCTGATTCTCAAGTTTAACAATTTCCAGAACCTCAAGTTCAAAAACAACAGAAACTCAGGTTCAACCAACACCAGAGTCTCAAGTTTAACAATTTCCGCAACCTCAAGTTCAAAAACACCACAAACTCAAGTTCAAACATGACACAAACTCAAATTCAACAAACGCCACAAACTCAAGTTCAAACACGAAACAAACACAAGATCAAAAACCACAAAAACTCAAGTTCAAAAAACACACAAATTCAAGTTCAAACACGACACAAACTCAAGTTCAAAAACGACACAAACTCATGTTCAACAAAAACCACAAACTCAAGTTCAACCAATACCCATTCTCAAGTTTAACAATTTCCACAACCTCAAATTCAAAAACAACACATGCTCAACTTCAAAAACACCAAAAATCAAGTTCAAAAACGACACAAACTCATGTTCAACAAAAACCACAAACTTAAGTTCAACCAACACCTGATTCTCAAGTTTAAAAATTTTCACAACCTCAAGTTCAAAAAACACACAAACTCAATTCAACAAACAACAGGAGCTCAAGATCCAACACGACACAAACTCAAGTTCAACAAACACTAACTCAAGTTCATCAAACACCTGATTCTCAAGTTTAACAATTTCCAAAAACTCAAGTTCAAAAACACCAAAAACTCAAGTTCAACCAATAACAATTTCACAAGTTTAACATATTCCACACCCTCAAGTTCAAAAACACCACAAACCCAAGTTCAAAAACACCACAAACTCAAGTTCAAAAACACCACAAACTCAAGTTCAAAAACACCACAAACTCAAGTTCAAACACGTCACAAACTCAAGTTCAAAATCACCACAAACTCAAGTTCGAATACAACACAAACTCAAGTTCAACAAACACACAAACTCAAGTTCAAAAACACCACAAACTCAAATTCAAAAACATCACAAACTCAAGTTAAAACACGAACCAAACTCAAGTTCAACAAAATCACAAACTCAAGTTCAACCAATACCCAATTCTCAAGTTTAACAATATCATCAACCTCAAGTTCAAAAACACCAAAAACTCAAGTTCAACAAACACACAAACTCTTGTTCAACCAACACCTGATTCTCAAGTTTAACAATTTCCACAACCTCAAGTTCAAAAACAACAGAAACTCAAGTTAACCAAACAGGCAAATTCAAGTTCAAAAACACTAAAAACTCAAGTTCAAACACGACACAAACTCAAGTTCAACAAACACCACAAACTCAAGTTCAACAAACACACAAACTCTTGTTCAACCAACACCTGATTCTCAAGTTTAACAATTTCCACAACCTCAAGTTCAAAAACAACAGAAACTCAAGTTAACCAAACAGGCAAATTCAAGTTCAAAAACACCACAAACTCAAGTTCAAACACGACACAAACTCAAGTTCAACAAACACCACAAACTCAAGTTCAACAAACGCCACAAACTCAAGTTCAAACATGAAACAAACTCAAGTTCAAAAACACCACAAACTCACGTTCCAACACGACAAAAACTCAAGTTCAACAAACACTAACTTAAGTTCATCCCACACCTGATTCTCAAGTTCAACAATCTCCACAAACTCAAGTTCAAAAACACCACAAACTCAAGTTCAACCAATACCAAATTCTCTAGTTAAACAAATTCCACACCCTCAAGTTCAAACACGACACAAACTCAAGTTCAAAAACACCACAAACTCAAGTTCAACCAACACACAAACTCAAATTCAAAAACATCACAAACTCAAGTTAAAACACGAACCAAACTCAAGTTCAACAAACACACAAACTCAGGTTCAACCAACACCTGAGTCTCAAGTTTAACAATTTCCACAACCTCAAGTTCAAAAACATCAGAAACCTAAGTTCAAAAAACACAAAAACCCAAGTTAACCAAATATGCAAATTCGAGTTCAAAAACACCACAAACTCAAGTTCAACCAACACACAAACTCAAATTCAAAAAACATCACAAACTCAAGTTAAAACACGAACCAAACTCAAGTTCAACAAACACACAAACTCAGGTTCAACCAACACCTGAGTCTCAAGTTTAACAATTTCCACAACCTCAAGTTCAAAAACATCAGAAACCTAAGTTCAAAAAACACAAAAACCCAAGTTAACCAAATACGCAAATTCGAGTTCAAAAACACCACAAACTCAAGTTCAAACATGACACAAACTCAAATTCAACAAACGCCACAAACTCAAGTTCAAACACGAAACAAACTCAAGTTCAAAAACCACACAAACTCAAGTTCAAAAAACACTCAAACTCAAGTTCAAACACAACACAAACTCAAGTTCAACAAAAACCACAATCTCAAGTTCAAACACGACACAAAATCAAGCTCAACAAACGCCACAAACTAAAGTTCAAACACAACACAAACTCAAGTTCACCAAACACACTAACTCAAGTTCAAAAACACCACAATCTCAAGTTCAAACACGAAACAAACTCAAGTTCAACAAACACAAAAACTCAAGGTCAAAAACACCACAAACTCAAGTTCAAACACGACAAAAAAACTCAAGTTCAACAAACACACTAACTCAAGTTCAACCAACACCTGATTCTCAAGTTTAAGAATTTCCACAACCTCAAGTTAAAAAACACCACAAACTCAAGTTCAAACACGACACAAACTCAAGTTCAAAAACACCACAAACTCAAGTTCAACCAACACACAAACTCAAATTCAAAAACATCACAAACTCAAGTTAAAACACGAACCAAACTCAAGTTCAACAAACACACAAACTCAGGTTCAACCAGCACCTGAGTCTCAAGTTTAACAATTTCCACAACCTCAAGTTCAAAAACAACAGAAACCTAAGTTCAAAAAACACAAAAACCCAAGTTAACCAAATACGCAAATTCAAGTTCAAAAACACCACAAACTCAAGTTCAAACATGACACAAACTCAAATTCAACAAACGCCACAAACTCAAGTTCAAACACGAAACAAACTCAAGTTCAAAAACCACACAAACTCAAGTTCAAAAAACACTCAAACTCAAGTTCAAACACAACACAAACTCAAGTTCAACAAAAACCACAATCTCAAGTTCAAACACGACACAAAATCAAGCTCAACAAACGCCACAAACTAAAGTTCAAACACAACACAAACTCAAGTTCACCAAACACACTAACTCAAGTTCAAAAACACCACAATCTCAAGTTCAAACACGAAACAAACTCAAGTTCAACAAACACAAAAACTCAAGTTCAAAAACACCACAAACTCAAGTTCAAACACGACAAAAAAACTCAAGTTCAACAAACACACTAACTCAAGTTCAACCAACACCTGATTCTCAAGTTTAACAATTTCAACAACCTCAAGTTCAAAAACAATAGAAATTCAAGTTCAACCAACACCAGAGTCTCAAGTTTAACAATTTCCACAACCTCAAGTTCAAAAACACCACAAACTCAAGTTCAAACATGACACAAACTCAAATTCAACCAACGCCACAAACTCAAGTTCAAACACGAAACAAACACAAGATCAAAAACCACAAAAACTCAAGTTCAAAAACACCACAAACTCAAGTTCAAACATGACAAAAACTCAAATTCAACCAACGCCACAAACTCAAGTTCAACCAACACCTGATTCTCAAGTTTAACAATTTCAACAACCTCAAGTTCAAAAACAATAGAAATTCAAGTTCAACCAACACCAGAGTCTCAAGTTTAACAATTTCCACAACCTCAAGTTCAAAAACACCACAAACTCAAGTTCAAACATGACACAAACTTAAATTCAACCAACGCCACAAACTCAAGTTCAAACACGAAACAAACACAAGATCAAAAACCACAAAAACTCAAGTTCAAAAACACCACAAACTCAAGTTCAAACATGACACAAACTCAAATTCAACCATCGCCACAAACTCAAGTTCAAACACGAAACAAACACGATCAAAAACCACAAAAACTCATGTTCAACAAAAACCACAAACTCAAGTTCAAACACGACACAAAATAAAGCTCAACAAACGCCACAAACTAAAGATCAAACAAAACACAAACTCAAGTTCAACAAACACACTAACTCAAGTTCAAACACGACACAAACTCAAGTTCAACAAACACCACAAACTCAAGTTCAACAAACACACAAACTCTTGTTCAACCAACACCTGATTCTCAAGTTTAACAATTTCCACAACCTCAAGTTCAAAAACAACAGAAACTCAAGTTAACCAAACAGGCAAATTCAAGTTAAAAAACACCACAAACTCAAGTTCAAACACGACACAAACTCAAGTTCAACAAACACCACAAACTCAAGTTCAACAAACGCCACAAACTCAAGTTCAAACATGTAACAAACTCAAGTTCAAAAACACCACAAACTCACGTTCCAACACGACAAAAACTCAAGTTCAACAAACACTAACTTAA